GACGCCGCTGAGCCCGTTTCAGACTCTTCTCGTAAACCTCCATCTGAGCCACGATCACCTGAACGGCGACAGGAAGGACGAGTGAACGCACGCTTATGATACTCGGGTCGACATTTAACTCTTCGTCACGTTACTGATTTCACAGTGACTCAGATTTGATTTGATTTTGACATTTTTAAGAGTTTAAAAACAAACAAATTTATTTTACACAATAAAATTAATTTGAAAAAATCCCTGGACTTCATTAAAGCAGCTTTGCATGATTCACAGCTGAAAATAATCCTTCTTTATCCTAAACAGGGGCTTCTGCAGCCCCTCTGTCTCCGCTTTTATGACTTTGTTCTGATTGGCTGTCCTTCGTAAACAGCAGGTGGCGGGGCTTCTCTGACTGACAATAGCCACACACCCCCTCTGTGACATCATAAAGTTGCACAAGTAGAAAAAAAACTGTAAACATTTCAGGGATTATTTGCAGACACGCTGACGTCGGCCATGTTGATTTCTGTCTCATCTAAGACCAAAACTACATTAAATTACTGAAAGAGTCGCTAATTATTTTTGCAGAATTTCATGCATGAAGTAAAAGAAAGCAGCAAAGCCTCGTCCTGATGTCAGAACCACGACGTGTAAACGAGTCCGTTATAAATGATCGTAATCTGTAGCGTGACCACCTGCGTGTACGTGTCCGGGTCGAGGCCTCGCGGGCAGAAGGGAATGCCCCAGTAGTAGTGAACCGCGGTGGAGTCGGCGGACTCTCCAGAGCCGACAGAGGAGAGCGTCCTGCTACGATCAGGCCGCGGCGCCTCTGTGCCGGACTTGGAAGAAGTTTCAGATGAAGTTCGTCTGACAGAGAGAGGAGACGGAAACTGGTTTGCATGATTCGTTCGGCGGCAGGACTTCACTGTCCTGTCTGTGTGTGCGCAAACGTTACAGCTGGATTCAAGTAACGTGTGCACAAAACCCACAGGCCCGTGTTCACTGACTGTATTCAGGCCACGCCTCCTTTGTTTCTAAGGAAACACTTCCATCTATCCATCCACAAAGCTTCCCAGTCCCTCTCGGGGGATCTCGGGGTATTTCTAGGCCATGAAAGACTTCTAATATCGCCCAGCTGGATCTGCCTGGATAACCTCGACAGGGAGGAGGCGCTGGGACGAGCATGAACCGCCTCAGGTGACTGAGGGTGGGTGTAACGCAGGCTGTGAGACTCCCCTCAGTCTCGTGAGCCTGACAGCTGACACGTGAGGTTTCGTACCTGCAGTTTGATCCAGTCGCCCCTGAAGAAGCAGCCACGTGGTTCAGGGAGGCCGCCGGGCTCTCCGCCTGATGAACGGACGTCTCCTCTGGGAAGACGGGGCTGGGAGAGCCGGTCGGCTGCAGGAAAAACAAAAAAGCAAAAAAAGACATTTTTAAGACGACGTGACAGAGATGAAGACGTCTCCCGTCTTCATCTGCAGTCTGTGTGGACGAGCTGTGCTCTTGTAGTGAAATGATCAGCTGTGTACCGTGACGTCCTCGTCCCCGTCAGACCAGACTAGCGTCATATCGCTGGTCAGCTGACTCTCGGCCGGGTCCGGGGCTTCGGCCCGCCCGCTCAGCTCGTCTGCATCGAGGAAATCCAGAATAAAAACACCGTCAATAAAAACAGACACAGTCCGACAGCAGAGCGAGCGACCTTCGTACCTGACTCGGACGCTTTCAGCCCGTCCAATCGACTCTGAGCGTCCTGCAATAAAAAGCAACAAAAACAGAGAAAAGAGTCTGAAAAGTCACATAAACATCAAATAACTGAGTGCCCAGCACACGATCAAGCGTCTCATCGTGACGTAAATGTATCGAGCGTTCGGCTTTCTGAGGGAAAGCGCGCTCTGACATGCAGCACTGCGACCTCTGACCTCACCTTCCTGTTGGCTGGAGGACTCTCGCACCTCTGCTGCTGCAGTCCGAACACGGGGCTCTCGGAGTGGGCGTGGCTCGGCTCGGCCTGTCCTCTGTTGGGACTTTCTGGAAATGCTAACCGTTCTGATGGAGGAATGCCGGGGCTTCGTGGGAACACGGGGGACGGGGGTCTCGCGGAGGAGGTTAAACTGTCCTGAGAAGAAAACGTGAATCCTGAGTTTTCACCGTCTTGGCTGCGCACGGCGTCTTGGGCTCTGCGGGCGCTCGGCGACCTCTCGTGCTGAGCGTTCCTGCCAAACACGGGGCTTTTAGCGAACTCGGGGCTCGGCTCAATCTCGTCACTGTTGTCGGGATCTGTACCAGACAGGGCGGGGCTTTTGGGACATGAGGCAACGTCGCTTCCAGGGAACGTCGGGCTCTCGGGACGAGGGGACTTTTGGGTGGCGTTCGAACCATTCTGAGAGCACAACACGAACCCGGAGCTCCTGCAGGTGTCCAGCAGGTCCTGGCTCAGCCGGCCGATGCGGACCTCCGCCCGGCAGCCCGTCAGTGGAAAGACGGGAGACCGATGCGGCTGTGAGTCCTCGATCTGCGTGGAGTCGGAGCTCTGGGAGGAAACAAAGAGATGAACCTTTAAACGACTTTTCTGACGCACGTTTCCCTACAGATCGCAGACGACGACGAACCTGCGGCGAGTCGGGGAGAGCCGGCAGAGACTCGGAGCTGCAGGGAGACGCCTGAGAGTAGACCCGAGTCTGCGACAAGTCTGGCATCTCCGGCAGAGGACTCCCCGCTTTCCTCTTCCTCTTTAAACTCCCGTTGTCACCGTCTCCAGATCCGGCTGGAACAAAGGAACAGTGCCTTTCATATTGATTTCCTGGTGTGAAGTCTGACCTCAGATGGACGCCGGTGTTACCTTGAAGGCAGCCGTCCTCTGAGGCTCCTCGATCGATGGCGAGCGTTGTCTTCCCGTTCGAGTACGCTAGTTTGCGGCGGGAGCAGAGCCTGAGGGAAACGTCGGCGGGCTGAGATGGACTCTTGGGGGTCCGGCACGCCTGCGTCTGCCCGACCATCTGTGAGAGGAAAAGCAGGAACATCTTTCTCTGCATTCATTTGTCTGTTTGCTCTGATTTGTTTATTTACTACGATTAGCATCTGTGCTGTTCTGTAGCTTTTAGCTAGTTTAAAGAACATGAATGAAACTCTCAGAAGCGCATAACAGGTTTAGAGGACGACGCTCATCCTGGCGGTAAAAGTAAACCATGCTAATGTCAGGATTCACATCGTCTTAGAGAAGGCGCCGGCGCTCTGCAGAGAGGCCCTGATTGGTGCAAACTGCCATCAGCTGCTGACCGACAGGTAAACAGGACAGAAATAAAACCCAGACGCGTGCACGCCTGCTCCAGCTCTGTACTCACGCTCTCCTTGATGGCCCTCATCATGGCCTCCTCCTCCTCTTGCTGCCGTCTGAGCGCCGTGGCGCTGGCTTCCTGTTCGCTCAGGCGCAGAGCCAAGTCCATCATCTCCTCCTCGGACATCTCTGCAAACACACACACAGAGCTTCATCGCCAAAGTCCTGCTTACACCCTCAAAATGAAACACGTTCAGCAGTTCCTGATCCTCCCGAAATGCCCTGATTCCACCTCCATGCTTCTGCACCTTTAGGCTTGGATTTGCTCTCCCTCTGCCGTTTCTCCCTCGCCATTGACGTGGCGAGCAGCGACGTCGAGAGCTCGTCCTGCAGAGACAAAGAAGGACAAACAGTTCTGATGTTGTTTTTCATGCAGCTGCCAGATTATCAGTCAGACTTTACTGATCCTGGTTCCACGAGAGCGACCTCGCGTTCATTCAGGACGCTCGCGTTTCTTCACCTGCTCGTCTGCAGCTTCGTCCTCCTGCGAGTCCTCCTCCTTCTGGCTCTCAGAGGCCACATCCATGAGCTTTTGCTTCCTCAGCGCCATCTTGCTCTGTTCCTGAGTAACTGCAGCCAGCAGACACACAAAACTCTAAATAATAAACCAACCAGCCGTAAAATCATTGAGTTTAAGTTATTAGTAATCATCTTTAGATCCACTGCTTCCATAAACACGTAATAAAACATGTGGCTGCCCTGTAGCCTCAGACGTCCACATGTGTGGCTGCCAAGCTCCAAACAGGGTTTTACTAACACGTCGTTTCTGATCTCAAATATCACCACAGTCCGTAACATCAGGATCCACCCAACCATTGTCTTCTGCTCCAATCATCATTGGGTTGGTAAAGTCGATAATTGGTCGGATCACTTTATCCTCCAGCACAGTCTGAACTCTGAGGAATCTTCAGAAATGATTCTCCAAGCGTCCTGAGGGACATTCAAGGTCTTCTTTGGATGTTTCTGTCTTTTGTCCTGTTCTCCATCAGAATGATCTCACTCTGCTTCAGGGATGTTGAGGTCCGGGCTCTGTCGAGGCCAATCTGTGACTGATGGTGTTCCTCAGGCTTCTCCTGCACTGGCAGTGTGTTTGGCATCAGCCTCATGCTGAAAAACGAAGCTGCTGCCAGTCAGATGTTTCCAGACGGTACTGATGGCGTGTGGAAATCTGACCGCACTTTCATAGAGTTGATAATTCAGTTTTGATGAGATCAACACACTGATTGAAGGACAGCAGAGACCACGACGCAGCCTCCACCATGTTTTACAGACGGCTGTAGACACTCGCTGTTGTAGCTCCCTCCTGACCTCCTCCACACATTCGGACCATGATTTTGATTGGTCGCTCTACCAGACCGGTGTCCGTTAATGTTAAATCCAGTTCAGGTGTAATGAGGCATACCTGTTTCACTTCTTTAAGAATGGCTTCCTGAGAGCCATCCTTCCCCTGAGACCAGTCCTGATGAGGCTTCAGTGAACAGCAGATGGATCTCTCAGGTCTCTGAAGGACATGACTGTCACCTGCTGTTAACACCTCTCACTTCTTCTGTCCTCCACTCGTCTAGCTTCCTCCTCTTTGTTAAAAACACACGGCACACCATGCTGAGATATACCTAGTTTCAGCTAATAGATCTTTGGGAGTCACCTTCCTGGTTCAAACATACTTTCCATACCCCAAACTTTGTTTTTTCTTTCCACATTTTTTGATTTTAAATGTAAAGAAAAGTCCCCAATGGAGTAAAATCCCAAATAATTATGAGTGGTGGCTCAAGACTTTTGCACAGCAGCTGAGAAAAAAACACATGAATGTGCGATAAGAGTCTGAAGTTTGCTTTGATGGTCACGGTTAAAAAATTTAAGTTTGTGATTGTTCAGCGGGATTATTTAAAGGGTCAGTTCACCCCCAAAACACGAAGCTTTAATCCTTCGAACCGCTTATCGTTTCCGTCTTTAATAACAAACAGCAGAATGAATGACAGCCCTCAGGCCACGCCTACTACCTGCTTCACCTGACGATGGTGGGTCTCCTCCTCCTCTTCTCCGCCCTCCTCTCATCTGTCCTGCGGTGGGGCCTGAACAAACTGCCCTCTGCGTTAACACAAAAACAAACAGAGGCGCGTGAGCGGCCTGAAACATCGCACACTGGACGTAACGTTAGCTCACACGGCGCGAGGGCAGCGGTTGATATGGAAACAAGCTGACCACACGAGTCAGCGAAAAGAGGCCGTTAAAAGTTGGCGCTTTTCGGTTTTCCCGCAACTAAACCGTGACGCTAGAGAGCGGGTCGGCCTGCCGCTCCTGCCCGGCACTCCGAGCGGCTGAGGCGGCGGTTGAAGGCCAGCGCTCCGCTCACAAACACTCACCCAGCACTTTTCCTTACTTTCGCGGCGCCATGTTTGTTTCTCTCCACCTCGTCACGTGACTGCAACGTCGGCGGGGCCGCCGCCGTCCACGATGCCTTCACGGACTGTCGGTGAACACAGATTCCTCACCTCATGTTCCTGATGTCAGAATTCTAATTAGAGTTGATTTGTGACAATAAATGAATTAACAATAAATGAATTAACAATAAATGAATAAATAAAACATAAAAGAAGAAAAATGTATATTAAAATTAAAATGAGTGTCTGTTTGTCTGTTC